TATCTGTTTTTGTACAAAGTTAGCATGGTATTTAATAGTGGCGCTCTCAGAGGTTTTTTTTTTTTTTGGCATGCTTTGATGTACTTATCTGATAGTCTTTTCTACATATAACTTCTATGATTTGTTTTTTATTTTTTGGTTTTCTTTGGCAAGATGTGTGAGAGCCTTTCTTTCTAAGTGCAGCGTATGTGTTGTGGGACAGGCAAAGAATCATCAAAACTACTCAATCTAGCATATTTGTTACATCATTCTGTATGGAGTAATTTCTTTAATGGATGTCAGTGCATTGGCTCAGACGCATTCTGTCTCGTCATACTGATGTTAGTACTGCAATGTAACATCACGAAATTTGATAATAACAACGTATAATGTTTTCAGAGCCTGCATGTGTATCATTGTGTCCCCACTTAGACAAATCAGAGGAAAGTTTGCAAAATCCTTCACGGGTTCGGTTGGAATTATTTTTTTGCATCTTAATGAGTGCCCTGATTAATATGTAGTTCAGTTTTTACTGGATGGGTGACCTTTGCAATTAGGTGTTATCCTTTTTGGATTTTAATTTTTACTGATGAAACACTTAGCTCAGCTGGGTCTGATCCTTGGCAAGGCTTCCAAGTGCTACCCTCACAAAATGGACTAGTAAATTATTTCCAGTTCCTCTAGTCATAACTCTCTTGTCTGAGCGAATTTGTCATATACAAATTTGTTTTTATGATTTATTGGTGTTATGGCAGTGTCTAAAGACATAAGCTGATATCGAGTCTTCACTGTGCTGACACTGTAGTATGCATAGAAATACTCTGTGCAAAAGGTTAGAGAAGGCAGGGATATAAAAGAATGCAATTTTCCATTTTAGAGCCAAGCAGCTAAAAAGAAGCGTGTTATGCCCTGCAGGCCCATAGCTGCAGTGACATGAGAAGGACATCGTGCCATCAAATGTGGTCAAAGATAGTGAGGAGCACCCTTGCTAGAAACGATTCCTGACGTAAGAAAAGCTTCTAGAGGGATCCATAGCTGGGTTTGGGGGAACTGTTGCTGTAAAAAAGCCATCATAGCCCCCGTGGAAAGAGGGCAGGAGCACCAAGCTGATACACTGCCCCAAAGCAGGGTAGACAATTAGTGCCGATGCTCCTGATAACCGGGAAGGCTTGGGCAGAAAAGGAGCCTGCGCCGGACCCGTGTCCCTGGAGCACTTTCTCCTTCTCTGCAGGACGTGCCTTCAGTTTTGAGTGGAGTTTGTTTGGCATCTTTCTGTGCTACCAGATGCAGATTCTGTTAAGTCAAACTTTACCACAGCAACAAAAATGACAGAAGGCATTAAAACAGCATAGGTCCATAAAAAGTCTTAACTAGCACTTTCCACTTGTATTATTTTATGGCATTAGAATGGTAGAGCTAAAAGCCACCGGAACATCTTGAGCATAGCAGCTTTCTGCCTTCTTCCCCCTCACCCCTTTATAGTTGTGTCAAATAGTCTGTACTTAGGTCATTTACTTATGACCTCTGAATGCCGTGTTTGTTACAGCCTTTTAAAATGTTCAAGTGACAAAGTATTCCCAATAACGTTTAATTAGCACAGTGAATGAAGTTTTGAGAGCATCACCAAAATGCATTAGGGCTAATATTGTGGGAGGTCTAGCTATGGGCTAAGGGAATACTCGACCGAGATTTCCAGTGCATAGCTGATCTGGCTATTTCAAATTATCAGAACCTAATTAAATGAAAACATATGAGAAGATAATGAATGGAGCTGTTGGCTAGAAAATCCTCCAGTATTAAATCGGGAGTTTGCTTTAGGGACAATTAAAATGCAGTGAATGTATCTTAGACTGTGTGTTAATCATCAGTATTGTAAGTGAATCTGATATTGGCCTGGAGGAGGATTTTAAAATTGAGTTTGTTATGAACTTTCAAAAGTTCATGCAGGGCTTTAAAGCCCTGTGCAGCTCTGGGAAAATTCCCCCAGTGTGCTACCTCCAGTTGCAAATGAATGAGTCTGTTCTGGCTTGCATAAATGTTTTTTAATTGCTCTTAAAAGTCACGACCTGATTACAGAATATTGACAGACCCCTCGGGATTGAAAAGGAAAGGTTTGGAGTAGCAGTGCAACAGCAACAAAGCGTTAGCGAGGACAGCGCTTGCAGGGCAGGTATTTAGTAGCTCCCTTTCCTAACTTGGATCATTTTGTTTTCTGTAACTGAGTGTTTCTTTTCAGTCTGGTTTGGTGCCTCCTCTTCTCAGCGGCGCTGCAGCGAGTCGCAGAGACACTGCGCTTAGCGTGTGAGGTGTTAAATGAGAAGGACCCGCTTGCCTCTCCAGCTGCTGGGGTCAGCGTGTTTCGTTTGGCTGATGCGGCTCTTGAAAAGAGCACACGAAGGATGGAAAGTGCGTGGTGCGGAGTGGTAGGAGGGAGCTTTCTGGTCTTGGTCAGTGCTGGGTCTGTTGAGAGACCAGCACTAGTGAAGGCTGCTGGCTGGGAGGACTGTCCTGTTGGGGCTGGACAGAGCTGCCTGTCTGTGAAACACCTGTAAGAGCAAAGTATTATAACAGAAGCACATAAATGCCTCATATAGCTGTGAATATGGGGTATGTTTGTATTGAGGTATCCATATTTGAAAAAGTTGAGCTGTTGCTCATTTCAGTGCTATAAAAGCAGAGTTAGGTAATAAAACACTTACTCTGTGCGTATTGTATGGTGATTTTTCTTTAGCAATATAAATATCTCTGAACACAGACTTCATGAAAGCATATAAGAATTTGAGCTTAATACTTAAATGTAAAAAATTGTGGTTTTTATAAAACGATTCCAGAATTTATAGAGTGGCTAGTTTTTTCTGAGTGAAAATTACTGTTAAAGAAATTTCATAGCAGAGAAATTCAGGCCTGCTATTGTATATATGGCAGTAGTGTTTGTGTCATATATATATATATATATATGTTGTGTGTGTGTGTGTAAAAATAAGATGGCAGTAGTAAATCATCAAGCTAGCAGAAGTTATTCTGTTTGCATGGAGAAGCATATAGGTGAAATCTGATGAACTGCCTGCTTTCCCAGATGAAACGTGCCAGTAGAAAGGGAAGCCTGTGAGACGGCAAGCATCTGTTGGGGCTTTGGTTCGGGAGAGGCGGCCTCTGTCCGTGACTGCCCCGCCAGGGTGGTGCAGTGCACGGGAGTCAGCAAAAGGCCCATAGCTTAGCGTATGGGAAAGGTTGCTTTTGGTGGGGAGGTGGTTTGCTTTTGCAGGGACAGAGGCTGAACATTGGTTTTTTGAGCTGTCTGGAAGTTTAGGGCAGAATTTTTTTACCATTAAAAACCCTAGGCATTCAGCAGCACCCCGGGGAGCACAGCAGGGTCCGACAGACCTCTGCCTAGCTTGAACCTTGCCCAGCAGATCCACACCAGCTGGACTGCCTGGCCCATGACAGCCAGGGCCTGCATGGGGAAGCAGGCGGTTCATGGCAGAGCTCGCAGTCCAGCCCCAAACTCCTCCGTCTCCAGGACTGGCGTTCATCAGAGTAGCTGTTGCTTCTGCTTGTCCCACAGCCGTTCATATGGGCTGTGTTTTTGGTTCCTGGCTGCGCGTTTGGCTATGTTAAAGCAGATGTCATTCAGCTAAAGCCTGCCTTTCCAAGGGGTTTGGATCGCTCTGCATCAATGGCCTGTCGTCGTCTTTATGTACTGCTCGTCTAAGTATAGCTGTTTGCAAACTTAATTGGGGATGATGATGTGGATAAAAGTGTTTAAATACCTTGAGACCAAGATCTGATCCCAGCAAGACCCCTTTGGAAACATACTGACTCAGTGGTTCCTATTGAAAATTAGATTTTGACACCTGTCAGCCAATTTCATATTTAATGTGTGCTGTGTTCTGGTTTCTCAATCAAAATATCAGCCGTCTTCCAGAAGTCCCTTCTACTGTTATCCCTATTAACCGCATCTGTTGTCTCAAAGACAGAAGGTGGTTTGACAGAATCTGTTTTCCACAAAACCTTGTTGATTGCCGTTACTTATTTCCTTTCTTTCTTAATCATGTCCTGTCTCCACTATTCCATTTTTTTGCTGGGATAAATGCCAGGAAGACAGGCTTGTAATTATCTGGGTCACCCCATTTATCCTTTTAAAATATCCTTCTCTGGAACTTTCCTGTTGTTCCACACATTTTTGAAAATGAACAAGCAACAGTCCAGAAATTCTTCTGCCTAGACAGCTTGAAGCAAGTATTTGGATACCTGACTTGAAAAATCAGAGGCCAGGGCTCTGACGTCCTCCCAAACAAAACCTGTAATGAGAAGAGTCCCAGCAGTATCTCGTGGCTGTGACTTGATGCTCTGCTGCTTTCCCAAAGCCTTCGGAGAGCTCACAGGCGAGATCCTCGTGTTTCCTGCGCGATTAATGTCGTTATTGGCAGCTCTATCATTTCTCTCTAATAATGCCATAGTTATGATTCCTTTTCCTCCGAATAGCACTCTTCTGCCTGATACACGATAAAAAAGAAGTTAAAATTCAGAAGTTAATGAAAACATTTGCTTTCTTGACCAAGTCTGTTGGTTTAGTTGTCAAAGCTCACAGGGGCAGGAAATGAGCTCCAAATGCAAGGCTGTAAAGTTAGGAAGTGAATCCACTTAGAAATGGGTTTGTGTCTTCATGCCCGGACTGCTGTGTACAATTGCTCTTTCTGCATCTTGCTAGTTTGTGTGCACCAGGAAAGCTGTTTGGTTTTAGACAAATGTTTTTGCTTTGACTCTATATATTTGACTCTTCCATGTTCTGTTTAATTTTAAATTGAAATCCCACATTTGAGAAAAATTCCTTACCTTCCACATTGACTTAAGTTATCTTAAGTCTTCCAAATGTGGTTGCTGATTCTCCTTCCCCCAAAGACAGTAGTTTAAAAGCCTGGATAATCTGAAAGACTAACAGACAGAAAATAGGGGTATAGGTGCAGGAATGTTTTAAATCTGCTGTCTCAGCAGGACATCGTGTCCTTCATCTTTTTTAGAGTGGTTGGTGGCTTTGAGACTCTGACTGCTATGGAGAATGTGGAAAGTGACCCGAAAACAGACCGTCCCAAGGTAATTCGGAAATGAAATGGGGTATGCAAGAAGGAGCTAATACCTTGTCATGGTGCCCTTCACCCCACTGCCACCGTTCTGAAACGGAGCTTGGGGAAGATGGAGCAACTTGAACAGCAGCTTCTGATTGCTCTTTTTCTCTTCTGCTCCTAGGAGGAAATACGAATTCAGTCAACAACTGTTTTTGTTGATCCATATGAGGAAGCGGATGCCCAGGTGAGGGTAGTTTGTTTTTTTTTTTTTTTGATAGGCCAAAGCCCTTCTTTGCAGAACTTTGTGACACAATAACTTTGATTTTTTATACCGGCTGGTTCCTCTTAGAATCCCTGCTTTTCCCATGTGTTTTCTTCCCATCTCCCATGCCTTTCTTCCTCCTCCTGCTAAACATGGACAGCCCCCTTACCCGTGCGATAGCCATTTGGCAAGGCCTTGTGTGTCAGAATCATCACTGCTGTCTCGGAAGAGAGGTCTAGCAGGGCTCCTGCTCCATCCTGCTTACTGTAGCTTCCCGTGCCAATGCCTGCAGCGTGTGCTGGGGAGCTGCAGGTGAGGAGGAAGAGATGGGCTTCATCATAATGGCTACAGACTGCCCATTTGTAGTTGCCCTGGAGATCTGGCTTCTAAAGCATGTCCTGTAATCACAACAGATGATTTTAGAGGGTTTTAAAGCTTCAAAGTGCTGTAGACAGTGCTGCTTCATTGCTGGGCACCACGGAGAAGAGGCTGGCCTCCTCCTCCTGACACTCCCCCTTCAGATACTTGTACACGTTGATGAGATCCCCTCTCAATCTTCTCTTCTCCAGGCTGAACAGGCCCAGCTCTTGCAGTCTTTCTTCATAGGCTTCTCTCTGGACTAGCTCTTGCAACAGATTGTGCTGTTTACTTCCTACAGGTTGCTGCAGAAAGAGAAAAGGTTCAGCTAGAAGAAGAAGCAGCCAAAACAAAAGTTGAAGTAGCCACGCCGAAGAAAGAGATCCAGACTCCTAAAACTTACCGGCAGGGGATTGGAAAATACATTAACATGGCTGCAGCGTAAGTTCCCTGCCCGACTGATCCTTGCTCAGTGTTTCAGTTGTCTTTGCTGCTGGATGCTAACACTGCCCAGTGCTCTTGCTCAGGGCCTTTCGCTGGGACTCTCTAACAGGCCGAGTGTTTGTTTTGTGCCAGCAGGCTGTGCAAAGATGTTTGCATGCGGTCGTAACAGTCAGAGTTCCCTCTAGTTCTGTTGTTTTTCAAGACTAAAGTGAGCTTTTGTTTCTTCTTTAGCGTTTGAATGTGACCGAGTTGGTCTTCAACAGCATGGATGTGCTGACTTCGCAACTGTAGATACATTTCCACCATCTAGTCCTTGAGGGGGAACTGTTCTGTCACTTCCCCATCTTCTTTAATTCTGGTCTCTCTTCCCCTTCTGCAGCTATTTCTGAAGGCTGCTGTTCCAGAAATGTCTCTTCTAGCAGCTTCTAGCCCTGCCCAAAGGAGTTGCCTTAAACTCATATTGGTCTGCTGATCCAGTTCACTGTGCAACCACAAACCGTTTTACCGGCACGGCTGAAACGGCCGGAAAGGGGGGCAGGTTCCCAGGGCTGCCGTGGGAGCGCAGGACTCCTGGCTCACAGCTCCAGGGTGCCCAGCAGGTTGTTCAGGCTCATCCTGGAGCGATCTCTCCCAGACCTGCTTTGTAAACCTGTTGGGATTGGCAGCACTGCTCGCTTCCTTAAGGACAGGACAGAAACCTGCCTCAGCAGCAGCTGAGCACCAGGTTCTGGATAAATTAAAATAAATGCGTTCCTGAATTTAGCAGCCATCTGTAAAAGCATTTGCAAAAATGCTGCCCTCTCAGTGCTGCAGAGAGGCATGTATTTATGTGTGCACAGATCTGCACACCTGCTTAATCCACTTGTATGTGCCTGCATGATGTATAGGCTTATGCATGGCTCAAAAATGTGTGAGCCCCTGTACTCAGTTTGGTGTGTATGTCAGTTAAACATTTCAGTTATAAAATATTGCTTGTCCATTAAAATGTTATGTTAAGCTTAAAATTGCTGTCAATCTGCACTGTAGTTATGGAGGAAACGCAGGCAAAGCCGGCAGATGTGACGGCTCTGTGGAAAGGGCCAAGTAGTATAGGAAGGGCTTTTAGCTTCTAGTCCTTCACTCATTGCAGCCTGCCTCCAAACTGGGAGTTTGGTCCGTAGCAGGCCTTTGTCGGGCTCAGGCTTTTCCCTCTTGAGTACTGATATCTGATGATGAAACCAGAGTACGTGACCTGGCCACGTAGCGTTTCTGTGGGGTTTACAAGCTCTGAGAGAGGCTGGAAATAGCAGCAGCAACTGCAACAGGCCATGCTAAGGAAACAGGGAAGGATGTGAAAAACTTGCCCAGCTGCTTGATGCCTAGTTCCCTGTAAATCCTTTTGCTGCCACAAATGCAGACGAGAAGGGGTGGGGGGGAAGAGCTTGCGGCCTCAAGTTTTCATAGTGACTGTACAAAAAGCGTACAGCTCTTGAGTCTTCAGCTCCAGCCTGGAGAGCTGCGTTGGGTTTTGAACACATTATGTTCCTGGAAGCGTTCAAAGTCTGACCTGAACCATCCCCGCAGGCTGACATGCTCTCCGGTTTCTGAGTAAGCCAAAAGCCCCCATCCCCAACGCCTGCGGCTGCCGTGCCAGCACGGGGCTTGCGCTCCTCTCTTCTGTGCAAGCGCTGGGCTGGCTCCGAGGTAGCTGCTCTGGGGAGAGAGGGAGGGAGGGAATCCAGCTGCCCCGCTCCCGCTGAAGTAAGTAGTCCCTGAGCGTTGTTTTCCTTCGGCCTCTAGGAAGCGCAGTGTGGAGGACGACGGGCCCTCAACCAGCACAGCTGCGAAGAAAGAGAAAAAGAGCACAGGCTTTGGGGACTTCAGCTCCTGGTAGCACAGCGAGGAGCCTAGCACCGGAGCAGCACAGCGAAAAAGAAGAGAGAGCGTCCCGCGTGTCCCCAGAGAGCCCCAAAGACAATCTGTCCTGGGGAGGGAAGGCACCGGCCTGCCCTTCCACCGGGGAAGAAAACTGTTGCTTTGTTAAGGCCGGTTAATGGGGCTTTGTTTTCTAGAGAGCTGCGTTCCCCAACTGCATCTTCCTCGAAGGCCTTTTTGTTGTTGTTTGGCTGAGGGGGGAGCGGCGGTGCGGCTTCGCGGCATCCTTGCTCCACTTGGCTGGCAGCAGACCAGGCCGAGCCTTGCCGCTTCCGTGGGCGGCTGCGCTGGTGAATGAGCTGCTTGCTCAGGTAATCGTTTCCAGATGAGCCCCATCTGCCAACTGCACGGATGAATTGATGTGCTGGGGAAGCGCCTGTTCTGCTTAGCCGAGGGGAGGAGAGGGCTCCAGCTTGTTCTGCCCTGTCTAGGGCTTCCCTTCCCTTCGAGCTCTGTTTTGCTGCTTCTTAACAAGGACCAATTCTGTCTTTCGCCGTTTGTGGGCTTGCCTCTGGGATGGCCCGAGACTGCTGTCCGTCTCCACAGGGCCTCCTTGCTCACTCCAAAGTGAGCTGTCTGCCCTGTTTCCTCTCTGACAGCCTGGGGAGCAGCCGAGCTGGCCCAGGAGCCCGGCGCAGCTGGTTGCGCCCCGAGCTGGCGTTGCGGCAGCCCGAGGGGCCAGGACTCATCAGTTCAAACCTGCCCCCTGGCTCCAGAAACTGCAGCCCGGGGTAACTGAGCAGGAACAGAAACAACTTCACAGGGTTTATTTAAACCATCCCCAAAGCCTGCTCCTTGCAGGGGAACAAGTACTGCAGTCTGATCCGACATCGGGCCCCCCATCGTTAGAGAAAATGCATGTAATACAGCCAAAGGGAGTCTAGAGCACTCACCTTGAATACCCACAAACTTAATAAAGCGTCCTAATAGTTTGTGGGGTAGAGACATATTAGCCTGTGAAGTTTTAATCCAAAAACATCATGTGTATTACCATCATTTAGGCATAGCAGGCTAGATCCAGAGCATTACATTTTCAGTTCATCGTAGGTGTTTTTGGATGACAGAAATGCCCTCCCTACCTCTACCTGGCTGAGGAGATAGTTTTGTAATTAGATTTATAACATGCATTTATATCAGTGCTTTTGTGTTTAAAGAGAAGTCTCCATTTTTATGAAATTGCTATAAAAACTTTTGGTAAGATGTTTTGTATTAAATGCCTTTATTTTCTTTTGAATGTTTGCCTTTGTGTTCAACTGTCATTTCCAAGATCATGGCAGTACAAAATTGATTGTCTTACCAGGAAATGATTCATTCCTGCTTTTTAAGATGCTCAGAAAAAAACTCTGGGATTTTTGCGGATATGATTACATCTTTGTTAAATCATAGGAAGTTCAAACTAGCTTGAAAGAATAATAGGGGTTTATTTTGTTTTGAAACATTTTGCAATGTATAAATTTGAACATGTTTGATTCCTGGAACAGGGGATATGATGGTACTTTCCTCAAGCCGAGTTTTTTGTGTCTTCCTGAAACTTCTAGCCCCTCTTGGACTGGCCCTTTCCTGATAAATTGATATTGATCCCTTCTGTCCAACTTCTGCTTCAGCATAGTTTTGAGTTGTAAAATTCACAGTATTGCTAAAGTTGGAACAGGCAGAGTTTAATGAAATCCATAAGAGTAGAATAAAATGCTTTTAAAATAGATTAAAATGCAGATTATTATGAAAGAAAGGAGCTTAGGATTTCAAGGAAGGCAAGAGCGATGTGGCAAGGACTCCTATCTCAGCAAGAGTCCTTGTTGCAGTCTGAGATAAATGATGGTTTCCTTTAGCAGCAGCAGGCTGCAAAGATAACTGCCTGCTTTCCCCTGCTACCCAAGCTTTTTGGCAGTGAGCACTGTGGTCTGAAAAGGACCGCTGCCTTGCAAAGGGCAGAAGGCCTGGCCTTCCAAGCGCAGTCTTACTGCTACCCATTTTGTTCCAACTTTCCACCATAACAAACATCCAGCAGAGAAGAGAAGATAACTTTGTGGCTTCTAGGAAGGGCTGAGCATAACCCTCTCTGTTTCGCTCTACTGGCCCGTTCTCTGTGCTGGTGCAAGCTCGGGAAGGAGAGGCGAAGCTGCTCAGATGTTGTTCACCACTTGACCTTAAGCATGCGCTCTCACTGGGCTGCTGGTACTTTCCCAACCTTTCTTCATTGTGTTCACTAATGCTCAGTAGCATACCGGGCTGGGAGGAGTTGGCTGGTGGTCTGTCACCACCAGGATGTTGCAGCAGGGCATGGGAAGTCAAGTGGTTTGGCCAAGGCCACATGCCAAGTCAGCAGCTTGGCTAGGATTTGAACCAGGAGCCCTTGCAGTGCAATAAGCACAGTCAGTGCTCTGGCACAGCCAGACCAGGCAGCAAGATTTTCTTCTCGATTCCCACCTCTTTGCTTTAGCTCTCAGGCTGTGCTTCCTCCTACAGCTGTAGTTTTGTTTAGGTGGTGAAATTTTTTAAATTGCTTTTCTTCTGATTAGCAGAACCACAGAGACAAGGTGATATAAGCTCCTTTCTGAAATGCAAGGCAAAACATCCGTATTGATGGGCAAAAGTGGGGTACAGAGAACAGCTGTTGTAGAAATCTAGCTCCTTGCTGGTTGACTTACAGAGTTGTCACTACCTGAATCAAGAAGTGGGAAGGAGGAGGCTTTTCTGAAGCCTTCGCTTCCCCTTTAGTCCCTCTTGGTCCTTTAGCAAGGGGGAAGGAGGATGGTGTGCTAAGGGAACACCCGAACCGGCTCTGGCAGTGCCCTGAGGGATGGGCAAGAGTTGTGTAACTTTGCTGCAGAAAATCACTCCTGGGAACTGCTGTGCTACGGTAAGAAAATTTCTTTTTGCGTTGTCTTCAGCACTTTTACAGGAAATCCTCTTGGAGGAGAGAAAAAGTGATATTTTAACCAGAGAAGGTTAAAATAGGAGGTGTGTAGACTTGGCTAGAATAACATGAGCCCTCTGTTACTTTGCATTGCTCCATACCTGAATGGTTTTGCTGAAAAGCAAAGGCACTGGCCAACTGGTAAATTCATCAGCGTTTCCTGAGATCCTGTGCCGTAGCAGCAAACATCACGGGCACAAAATGTGCTCGAGAAGGCAGTGAAGTGCAGCGGGGCTGGCAGCCCGTGACCGCTCCTTTCCGTGCGGCCGCACAAAGCCCCGGGGCTCGCAGGTGAGGCCGAGCTTTTCACCTCTGCTTTTTCTGGTGTGAATTCAGTCCAGCCCCTCGAGGAGTACGGTATTGTCTGTGGGGGAAACAGTACTAATTTAGCAGTTTTAAAGTTAAATAGATGCAATTCTGTTTCCATATTTACCAAGGGGAACAAAAAACCCAAAATATTGTTCTTCAGTTTAATTTTGCCTGTTCCCCACTGATTTAAATTGCCACAACCCACTGTCTTGGAAACAGGAGCTCATTCAAGCAATTGCTCTGCTTTAACAGCACATGGTAGACTATATTGGTACCCACCTCCTGTAGAGCCAAGGCTTGTGGGTTGTTTGGAGCCAGACTCTGTGTTTTAAGGTCTCCAAGAAAATCCTTGCTAGGCACATGCCCGCCGCAGGGCAGATGCCGCATGGTGCAGGCATCCTTTGAAACCCCAAATGTAACACGGGGAGGGACTGAACATGTGGTGAGTGAAAGGGATCCTTTCTGCCTTCTGGGTCCTTCTTGGCTGATTCTTGGAGGCTTTTTGCAAAGGATTTGCAAACTCTAAGCGCTCTGTGACAGCAGCCTTCAGGGCAGAAAGCCAGGATAAGCAATTGCTTTCCTGGCCAGGCAAGGTGGCATCGCCTAGCGTCCTCCATCCCAGCTTTGGTGTGGTTTCTGTTAAAGCCTAGTTGTCCACAACCCTTCAGCAGGCTGGAAAGCTGCAGGCAGAGCCAGAAATCCCTTTCCCTGGTCCTTGCGGCTCATGCGCTCACTGGTTTTGCAGCCAGGCCCTTCTGCCATTAGCTCTGTGGCTTTACAGCCAGCAAGGCAAAGGCTTGAAAGGCTGCTGCTGGCCTCAGCCGGGATCGCAGCGCCTGGCGCAGCAGCCTGGGGCCTTTCTTGCTTCCTCTCTTTCTTTGGAAAGCTCATTTCTCACCTCGGCCGCAGCAGAGGATCGAACCACCCTGCACGGGGACGCCGGGGTGGAAAGAGGCCGGGAGCGGTGGCTGGGTGATAGCACCTGGAGAACCACCTC